AGCCAATGAAACCGAAAGCTGGTTCTTTGAAAAAGTTAATAATACTGATAAATCTCTAGCCACACTAACCACAAAAAAAGAGAAAGACGTAAATTACTAAAATCCAAAATGAAAGAGGGACCATCACTACTGACCCCGTGGGCATTAAAAAGGATAACAGAGAAGTATTATTAATAACTCTATTTCCACAAATTTGAAAACTTAGATGAAAGGGATCTACTGCTTAAAAGACACTATTTACCAAAAGGACTAAGAGATCTTTGAACACACCTATATCTATTAAAGACACTGAATTAACAATTAATCTTCCAAAACAAGGCACCAAGCCCAGATGGTTTCACTGGTGAATTCTACTGAACATTTTATTTTTTTTTGTCCTTTTTGAGACCGGCCGCACTGTGCTCAGCCAGTGAGCGCTGTGAGCGCACAGGTCATCCCTATATAGGATCCGAACCCACGGCGGGAGCGCTGCTGTGCTCCCAGCGCTGCACTCTCCTGAGTGCGCCACGGGCTCGGCCCTCTACTGAATATTTAAGAAAGGAATGGTACCATTTCTTTACAATCTCTTCTATAGAGTAGAAGTAGAGGGAACCCTTCTAAACTCATCCTGTGAGACCAGTATTACTGAGAAAAATTAAAGAAGACCTAAATATAATGGAGAGATATTCCATACTCACGGATTGGAAGACTTAATATTGATAAAATTATGTGTTACTTCCAAGGGCTGCTGTAACAAAAGACCACAAACTGGGTGGCTCAAAAACAAAGGGAATTCACTCTTTCACAGTTCTGGAGGCTGGGAGTCTGAGATCACGGTACTGACAGGGCCATGCTCCCTCTGAAGGTTCTAGGGAAGAAAACTTCCTTGTCTCTTCCTTGCTCTGGTGGTTGCTGGCAATCTTTGGCATTCCTTGGCCTGTAGCAGCACTGCTCCAGTCTCTGCCTCTGTCATCAGACAATGTTCTCTGTGTATGACTCTGTCCCAATTTCCCTCTTCTTGATAACGCTAGTTATGAAATTAGAGCCCACCCTAATCCAGCATGACTTCATTTTAACTTTATCACATCATCAGAGACCCTATAATAAGGTCACACTCACAGGTACTGGGCCATAGGAGTTCCACATATCTTTTTAGAGGACACAATTCAACGCATGACTGATGGTAATACTTTCCAAATTGATCTACAGATCAACACAATTCCTAACAAAATCCCAGCAGGCTTTCTGTAGACATTTAGCTGGTCCTAAAATATGCACAGAAATTCAAGGGGTCTATAACAGACAAAACATTTTTAAAAAGAATGAAGTTGGAGGATGCTATAGTCTGAATGTTTGTGTCCCCTTCAGAATTAATAAGTTGAAATCCAACCTCTAAAGTGATGATATCAGGAGGTGAAGCCTTTGGAAGGTAATTAGGTCATCAGGGTGGACCCCTCATGAAGAGGATTAGTGCCCTTACAAAAGAGGCCCCAGAGAGACCCCTTGTGCCTTTCACCTGTGAGGACACAGCAAAAAGGCTCCATCTATGAACCAAACAACTGGCCCTCACCAGACACCAAATCTGCTAGTGCCTTGATATTGGACTTCACAACTTCCAGAACTGTGAAAAGAAAATGGGTAAAAGAAAAGAAAAGAAAATGGGTAAAAGACTTGAATGGATACCACATAAGATATAAGAATGGCTAAAAAGCACATGAAAAGATGCTCAACATCATTATGTATTAAGGAAATGTAAATCAAAACCCTATGAGATACTAATACAGTCATGTACTTAACAGCAGGGATGCATTCTGAGAAATGCATCATTAGGTGATTTCATTGTTGTGTGAACATCACACAGTATACTTACAACAAATCTAGATGGTATAACCTACTACACACCTAGGCTATATGGTATAGCCATTATAATCTTATGGGACCACCACTGTATATGCAGTCCATTGATGACTGAAATGTTGTTATGTGGCACATGACTGTACATACTCTCTAGGATGTCTATAATCAAAATGACAGGCAATAACAAGTGTGGGCAAGAAACTAAGGATGGTCAGTTAGCTCAATTGGTTAGAGTGTGGTGTTGTAACACCAGGGTTAAGGATACAGATCCCTGTACTGGCCAACCACCAAAAAAAAAAAGAGAAACTGGAAAACTGGAACCCTTAAGTTACACCCTTTCCCCAGAACATATACAACAATTAATTAGGGCAAGTAGGAATATAAAATGATACAACCACTTTAGGAAACATTTTAGTTTCAACAGCTCCTTAAAAGGTTAAATCTAAGTTTACCATATTAACTAGCAATTTCACTCCTAGAAATCTACCAAAGAGAAATGAAGACACGTGTCCACATAAAGCTTGTATGAGAATGTTCATAGCAGTTTACTCATAATAGCCCAAAACTGACAGCTCCTTAAAAGGTTAAATCTAAGTTTACCATATTAACTAGCAATTTCACTCCTAGAAATCTACCAAAGAGAAATGAAGACATGTGTCCACATAAAGCTTGTATGAGAATGTTCATAGCAGTTTACTCATAATAGCCCAAAACTGGCAACAATCTAAAGGTCATCCACTGGTGAATAAACAAAATGCAGCATATCCATACAATGGAAAACTGTTCAACAACACAAAAAGGAGTGGAATACAGACAAATGCTACAACATGAATAAATCTCAAGAACACTGCAGCAAGTAACAGATGACAGACACAAACGACTGCACATTGTATGATCTCACTTATATGAATTGTCCAGAAAAAAGCAAACTTATAAATACAGAGAACAGATCAGTAGTTGTCTGGGGTTGGGGTAGAAGTGGGCACTGACGGTAAATGGACTTGAGGGCAACATCCGGATAGTAAAAATGTTCCAAAACTGGGTTGTGGTGATGGCTGTATAACTGCATTCACTAAAAATTAGTGAACTGTACATTCACAATGGATGTATTTTATGGTATGTAAGTTATATATCAATAAAGCTGGAAAAAAGGGTGAAGTTATTGTGACGCTACAACAGATGCGTCTAAGATGCCACAGCGAAAAAAAAGTAACCAATTCTGCCTCGAGGAAGTGGGGTGGGAGCTGAGGACAGAGAAGAACAGCGAAGCAGGAAGGGCTGCACAGATGTATTTAGTTCTTCAACAAATACGTATTATCTACTATGTTCTAGCTGCCTTAGGAACAAATCAGACACAGAGCCCTACACTTGTAAAAGCCACATGTTAAAAGAACAATAACAAACACAACAAAGAAGTCAAATATGAGGACCCAATACGCATCAAGACAATACTTGAGTTTAATATTAAAAAGTGAGTGAGATTCCTTAGGCAGGAGAAAGGAGAAGAGCAACGCAGGTAAGAAGTAGGATGTGTCACAGCAGAGCAAGGGAGAGTGGTCTCACTGTGCCCAGGGAGTCCACTGCTGAGAGTGTACAGAAAACGACCACAGATAACAACGAAAGGTCAGAGCAGGAATCAGAAGTGACACACACAGTTTCACTTAACTGTCCTTACACAACATAGGTATTTTAATTGGTACAAGTTAAACCGAGATTAAGTCATTTGCCTTGCCAAAATGGAGATAATAATAGTACTTACTCAAAATGGTCTTTATAGAACAAACAGTACCTGGCACAGAGTAGTGCTCTAAAAATGCTTGCCGGTATTTTTATTATTAATATTATGGTGTCATAGAGTCTAAACTATCCAGTTCTACAGTTTACCCAGAAAACTATATAAAATGAATCAAGAAGGTATCTAAAAGAGATTTGCTTTCTCTACCCAAGTGGTCCTTGTAGGAACAGTGCACAGAAACACATTTTTACTCCTCAGGGTATGGATTCATAACAGTGCAGTTCTCTCCTTCCAGAAATACCTTTCCTTACATTGACTGAAAATTTTAAAAAGTTATCTGAAGCTCTATTCCTTAAGGCACCAATTCCCACAGTGGTCTTTAAAGAGACCAAAGTGGTCTTCAAAGAGAAAGCCTATAAATATAGAATACTCCCCAAAGGTTACTGTGAGGATTAAATGAGTGAATACAGGTGTGGGGTAAAGGGTTAATTTGGAAAGCCTGGGTTGCCCAAACCCGGAACATCCCAGAGGTCTTCAGGACTGACCCTTGATACGGGTCCTGGGACATAACCTCTGAACCCTTGCAATACCATCCTGAGAAGGGTGTTTTTATATGCCAGAGGCCATGGGCTATGCTGTATCACTTTTATCAGACAGTTTATAGTAACAATGTAACTTAGGGTGAATGCCTGTTCTCATATGCCTGAGGCCCTCAGTTTGATCTGGGGAGGGGGGGCTGCAGACTGAGTAACTAAGGTCAGCCACATGGGTACTGCCTGCCCATGTAACTGACCCCCAATAAAAACCCTGGACACCAAGGCTCAGGTGAGCTGCCCTGGTTGCAACATGTGTGCCATACACCGTTACTGGAAGAATTAAGTGCATCCCTGTGCAACTCCACTGGGGAGGGACATCTGGAAGCTTGTGTTTGGTTTCTCCTGGACTTTGCTCTATGTACCTTCTCCCTTTTCTAATTTTAATCTGTATCCTCACCATAACAGTGAGGATAATAGCTTTTTTTGAATTCTAGAGAAACACTGTGCCTAAGGATGGTTTTGGGGGGGTCCCTGACACAATATCAAAGTGTACCTGGCATTTAGCAAGCATGTAAAGGCAGTTATTACTAACAAGCGCTGAGAAGTCATTTGAGTTTTAAGGTATCCAGACAGTGCTATTATTTGTGCCAATCTCTGATCTCTATTTCCACAGCAAGGTCTGAGGCAAGAAAATGAGTAAACAAGAACACACTCTTTCTTTCATCATAAGCCCAGAGACCACTTGGTTTGATGGCAATATTTAAGTCAAGTTCTAGGAGATCCTGCTCTAGCCAGTGGACAACACTGAAATAGACTGAAGGTTTAAATATTAACAGAAACAAGGTGACAATAATCAGATTGGAACAATGCAGATCTCATAATTGAAGGCATACCTTTACTTTCTTTATGCTGGGAAGTGATGCATTCAGAAACTCCTCAGTTAATCTCTTCCAACTAAGAGCTTTGTTGAGATCAGAATGAATGATGAATTTTTCATAAATTCTAAAATATATTAAAAAAATCAACTGATAGCTATAAAGCTATATTAACAGAAAGGTCTACAAGAAAAGACATATATTTCTGAATATATATATACACACACATACACATAAAACTGACTTACCCTTCTATTGTCTTTTCTATTTTGTGGCTGTTGACATCCAAGAAACGATGAAATCTAATAAAGAGAAAATGCAATTCTTATGCCAATTTTGTCACATGGCTAGGTAGACTCATCTCACAGTCCTCGACACCTTCCCATACACCCTTTACTTGGCTACATATTTCCAGAGTGCACCTCTCCTCTCATTACCTCCACCATCAGGCAGGCAAACAATTACCATGTCTCAGAGACTGGTCAAACATCCCTTCCTCATGACACAGGGGCATCCTGAACCTCCCAACCCGGTCCTCTGGCTCCTCTGTCTTCCCATAAGGTCCTGGGTCTAAGTCCAGCATAGCACATTCTACAACAGATGTTTCTACTCTTTTTGTTTTTTATGTGAGGCCCAGTGAAGCGTAAGAACCCCTTCTCTGAATGTTTTTAAATGCATAAAATGAAATTCAAAGGAAACCAAGTATACCAAAATATAGTTGCCAAATATTTTTATAAGTCTGTGATATAGTAATAAATATAGGTATTTCTTTATTAAAGCATTACATAATACCTACCAGTGGGTCCAATAACTACCATTAAAGTAACAGTAAACAATATATAGAAAAATCTGCAACAACTATAATACAATGTGAAAATAATATGTGATTTCTACTGATGACAAAGCCATAGGTAGGCTAATACTACTGTGGTTTGTTGCTTTCATTCATAATTAAAGGAAATGCTACTTTTCAGTTAGAGGTTACTGTAATTTTTTTCTCATCCAAATTCACAAATACCTGAATTCTATCTTCAAGCCCTCAGATTAAGAACCCCTATCACACTGTAATGAACTTTTGTCACTGTCTTAAAGATAGAAGCTATATCTTACTCATTTCTGAATTTCTAGGACCTAGAACATGGTCATAAATTTTAAAAATGTAAACATGAACTGCTCATTTTTCTGATGGATTAAAGCATCATAAAATTACAGCACAGCTTCTCAATTCTTCCATTTTTTAGTATCAAAGTCAGCAATCTGCACTTAGAAGTAAATTACACTACTTAACAACACATCTAATTCTATCCCAGTAAATGGCTGAGTGGAACACCATTTTACCTATCATAACTCAGTTTCTCAAACTGTAAAAGGAGATAGTAACTTCTAACGTCTCTCCCAACTCTAAAATGATAACCACCTGCCTACTGCCATTTAAAAATATTAATAGAAAAATTATTTGGGATACAGCTAAGTTTCTGCGTTATGTGATCTATTTCACACACTCTTATAAGTTATATTTAAGAACTGAGTTTATTATTTCAGAAACTTGCCATGCTTTCAATGATTCTGAAAGCCCTCTAAACCATGTGGGCGCTTAACGTCTATGATCATTAAAAACGACAGATTTTGAAAAACTGTTCACTGTTAAAGAAGATTTTTACTGAAATTAACCAGGTAGAATATTAACACGGATTAACATTGTTTTAGTAACAATTCCATCATGGGTAGTGATCATAAAAGTATTGTCTAACTTACATCTCCCATTTAAAAAACAGGCGATCTATCTAAACTGTATAAATCTTTAAACACTAATTGCAAGATAAATTGCATTAGAAATCATACTAGGTAACCTGGTGTACTATGTGCCAGGAACTGATCGAGGGGCTGGAATATAACTTAATATTCTAGCTGAAAATGGAGGTATAGGAGACAAACAGTAAAAATCATCCAACGTTTCGTGACAGAAAAAGAGAAAAGGACACCTGCAGTGGCTCAAGCCGGGAAGGTCAGTCAATGGGAATACAATTTAAACAGGGTTTGAGCATATTTTGCTCTAAAAACTCATTGACCCATAACTCAAAAAATGATTTTTGATGTGCAACGCACTGCTCTAAGTGCAGTGGGCACCGGGACGGGACAGACACGGACCCGCCCTGCAGGAGCGCGTGCTCGCTGCGGGTGTCCCCAGCGTACCACCCACCCCCGGGGCCGCCGCCGGGCTGCACGCTCCGCGGGCGGTGGGACCGAGCGCGGCTGGGCTGTGGACCGGAGCCAGCCG